TTGGGTGAAAACATTTAATGAAATTCTATATGCGTGCTATTTCTACATGGTTATGCATCCGTGTTATATCCAGTAACTAAAAAAAAAAGAATCCTACACACGCGATTTTGCGAGAGAAAAGGTGTTTGTGGGCAAGAACAGTTCTAAATTTTACTCTCTGGGTAAATATTTAAAAGTACCTACGGTTATTAGAGCGCAGCTCTTAGGCGCCCGTTTCCGTCTTGAGCGGCGTCGCCGTCGTCATCGCCGTCGGCGTAACCGCGTGGTGCATTATGAGAAATATCCCATCGTGCACTGCGCCGGATTCTCGTGACGTCACGTGTGGAGGAAGGAGGACGAGGAGGAAGGAGGACGAGATTCTGAGTGAAAAGGTCCAACGCGTCAAAAGGTCCAACGAGTCAAGAGGTTCAATATTGGACCTCTTGACGCGTTGGACCTCCTGACGCGTTGGACATCTTGACTCGCCGTCGATCTCTTGACCCATATTGGATCTCTTGACTCGTGCCTCGATGTTTCAAGAGGTCCAACGCGTCAAGAGGTCCAATACTCCCAGAGTTTGTTTTTATTAATATTATGTTGGATTGTCTTGGACAAGTCAAGGATTTTGACGACGGATTTTGCCGACGGCTTTTTCGCTGACTGAGCCAGGTAATGCTCACGCATTAAAAAAGCAGACAGCAGAGATGCTAACAATAAAGGCGGAGAAGAAAATGTCGAAAAAAAAGCAAAACGTTGAGCTTTGAAGTCGTTTACACGGCAGGGGGGATCTCACGAACACGGCTTTGATACATCGTTTCTGGCCGGTGATGTAATCTGTTCGTGCGTATGACCCGTGATTTGCTTGGTTTCTGAAGCGACTGCTGGGCTGTGGTGTTTGCATGCTGGGCACTGGATTTGTAAACACCGGAAATCATTGCTGTTATAAACTGTCAAGCTTATAGCACCATTCGTGTGTTGGGGACCTGTGTGCCTTCTTTCTTCTACCCCTGACCACAAAGTCGCAAATCTGCATCTCCCGTGTTGCTCTCCCCCGCGAATATCGAGATTTGAGATGAATTTTTTTAGGAAGTGACTACTCGACATTCGGTTCGAAATAATTGTAAAACTTTTTTGAACACATCTTTCGTCACACACAAAAGGTATGTCCATAGTTATTTCCTATTTCGACGTCTACCATCACACCAAAGCACTATTACGTTGTTTGACATCAGGATAACTGAACGTAGTTCTTTTTTTTATTTCTGTGACATCATTTTCAAAAGTTGTAATAATTGTTTAAATTTGTTCACATCTCGTCAAAATAGCTTCCTTTATATTTTGAAGTGCTTGGTCTTCAAAGAACTTGAAGAGACAGTTCGCCCTGGCGCAGCATGGCATGCAAAGTTAGTCATTTTTAGCCATGGCCTAGCACTGGACAAAGTAGAGATCTATCGGCTTCAGAGATCGACCTGCTTTCCGACACGAACAGTTCTTTAATCGACTTAAATCTCTATGACCAAATTTTCTAAAAATAATTGAGCAAGTAACCCACCATCTTACAATTCCAACCGACTAACACATTGCGTAATTTCAACTAAAAGTAAATGCATATGATATCGACAAACCGGTGTTAGGTAATTCGTGTCAAGAATGCTAAATCATGAAACGTTCAGTTTCATGGTTTATTTCACAGCATTCTTAAAAATAAAGATCAGTAAAGGAGTTACATATCGCTAGCATAAGTATTTGTGAATGATTTCTGCTTTTAAGTAAGCCAACGGCTCAAATTAACCTGCTATAGCTTGCACCGGTCATAACGTTTCAAGGAGACAATGCTCGCATTCATTAGCAACACTCTATTGGACACCAAGTGGCATAATTTGGGTTCGTTTAGAGACGCCCTCCATTGATATTTGAGCTTCTTCCCATGTTGTGTTATTTGCCTCTTTAGTGAATCGGTGAACTCAGTGAATAAAAACTAAAGCATTAAATAGTAGTGCATCATATTTTTAATAAAACATACAAAAGCCCGGGACTGGACAAAGTTACCCAACGAAGTATTTGCGTTTACAAATACTGAGATACATGAAAGGGAAGGCTAAATGCGAGATGGGGGGCTGAGGTACATTTGTATTTTATATCTCGGGAATATGAGAGACACTTCCGTAGAAATGGTATAAATAAGTCCTAGAACAGAGGTACTAGAACAGAGATATGAAGTTCTACAAGTCCAAAATGTGTCGCCAGGCACTATCCATGATTTAACACTGAAATACATATACATTGTGACAAATAGTATTTGTCTACTTGTCTCCAATGGCTATGTAGTACTTGTAAGCTCCAAAATGATTAAAATAGGTGAAACAGTCAGTAACCGTCACACGCAGTCCCCCCCCCCCCCCCCCCCCCCATTTATAGCAATATCATTATAAACAGAGAAGATAAAAATAAGACTCGATGGACCTCTTGACGCATTGGACCAGTTGATGCGTTGGACCTCTTGACTCGATGGACCCCTTGACGCGTTGGACCTCTTGACACAAATTGGACATTTTGACTCGTTGGACCTCTTGACGCGTTGGACTTCTTGACTCGAATTGGACCTTTTGACTCGTTGGACCTCTTGACTCGGCTGTCACGTGGCTATTGGACATCTTGACTCGTTGGAGCTCTTGACCATAAGCGGGAGGACGAGGCGGAGGGGAGGAGGAGGAGGGGCAGGAGGGGAAGGGGGAGGAGGAAGGAGGAGGGATGAGGAGGAGAGAAGGGAGGGGTAGGAGGGGAGGAGGAGCATGAAGGATGAGGGGAGGAGGAGGAAGAGGAGGGAGGAGTAGCAGGTAGGATGAGTAAGGAGGGGTATACCTTCCCCTCAGTACCCTTCCCTCCTCCTCCTCAAGAGCTGCGCTCTAATTCGGCTTTACAAGGTGTTGTAATCGGCTTTCATTTTTTTTTTTGTAAAATATATTTGTAGCGAGAGGCATAGTATCGGTCTGCTTCTACTCGCTTGGTGCCGATTTCGAAGCTATGGACTCCTGCGAAAATGGTACATGATTCTATATAGGGACAAAAAGACGGGGCGGCAGAAGTGGGCCTCAAAAACAGGACTGTCCCGGCCAAAACGGGACGTCTGGTCACCCTAACAGTGAGGCACATGTGAACTGGTCGGTAAACGTCCCTAAATAAACGTTTGTGAGTTCACCTTCCCGCTGTACACAAAAATAACCGATCACGGTGAGCAATATAATTCAAGCGAATAATCTAGCACATTATTAGGAGAAAAATAAGCATGACGTTTTATTTTGCTCATTGTCCCAATGCAGATCTTTTTTTTGCCTAATTTTATTTTCAGATTTATGATTTGATGGAATCCCATTATTCTTCGCCGTAACTGCTCATCTCCGGGTTTTGCAGGAAACTCACATAAGGTTTTCAAAGTGTTCCTCGCGGAGCAGTTGACGTCCATATCTAGAATAAAGAAAGAACCCATCGCTCCTACGTGTGGCCCAGGCGTTAAGTTTAATCTCGAGAGTGAACAACAAACGCAATACGTCGGACCAGTTTCTTTCCCAATAAAAGAGAGAGAAAAATCGGAAAAAAAATGGCTGTCATTATGGCATTTTTTAAAAGCGTTCTGAATGCAAAGCATGTAGAAAGTCTTTTCTCAGATCCACTCGAAATCACAGTTTGTTGGCCATTCGGGGGAAAAAAATGAACAAAAACTAAAGCCGGTAGCACTGAATTTCAGCACGTCACCAGAAGAGGCAAACGCAGAACATGTATTGCAAAGGAGTACTGCATCTCATCATTTGGTTGGGACTCGTCTTCAGTCAGTGAGGAAACCAGCCGAACGTTGACTCGTGTCAAATTCATGCCCCGAATTGGCCTCTTCAAATGACGCAGAAAAATTCAACCCTCTGGCCTTGTTGTTTAGGAGGCGTTGGCCGAGCAGCGAAAGTCGGTGGAATCGCGTGCAATCGGGGATTGCACGCTCTGCTCTCCAAGCTCCATGGAGCTTAGATTCCAGACTCGGATACGAAGTCTCCGAGCTGGACTTCTGGATATAACACATTAGAATATAAATCAGTAGTCACGCAGTTTGTTAGTTACTTCGGTTCGAAGACTGAACATGTCCTTATATTAGGGTGCGTTCATACACACGCTTCTGCTACTCGGAGGAATTCGTGCTTTTGTTTCCTTTGAATGTTCTTCTTGTTTTTGTTTTTTAGACACTTTTAATAGTTTTGGCGACAGCTGGTTAGCGTCGACGCCACCCGCGTCAGTGTCCTTTATTGTTCTAGAATTTAATAGTTACTAAAATTAATTGCCGGTATATGTTGGCGGCCCTTGATGCAACGTAGACTGCGTCATTCTGTACTAGAAGGAAAAAAGTAATTAAAGCTCCCAATCTTTTATGTTCTCCTCTCTACGGGCACCGATATAGATATGATACTTCGCTCCGCCGACGCAGATGTTAGTGAAAAAACTGATTACTCTTAAGCGCCGTTCACACTCTTGCAACCGAGTACGACCGAGAGAGACAAGACCGGTTTTTAATCCTCTTGCGACTTCTTAGGACCGGATGCGATGTAGCGGAGCTGGTCCTAAGAGATCGCAAGAGGCTTAAAAACCGGTCTTGTCTCTCTCGGTCGTACTCGGTTGCAAGAGTGTGAACGGGCCTTTATGGGAAGTGTTAAAACGATATGGCGAAAAACCCCGTGACTGACCGGACGAATGATGTCCAACGTGGCGTAAGCTGTCACGTCATGAGGACATAAATACTGTGTCCGATATACCTGACCGATGACGAGAACGGGGTTCCCCGTGTAGCGGAACTTACGTGCCTCCTGCTTCGACTATTTGAAGAATGTCTGGACAATTCGTCGCGTCGATGACGTCTCCTCAATGGCCCGCGAGCTTCGTATCTTATCGCGCAGTTGTAAATGCGTGGCCAGGTTGAACGCTGGGCGATAAAAGCTTGCAGACGTACCCAACTTCGGCCACCTATAGAACTGAGACGTAACGCAGCGTTGGTGGAACTCAGCAATGACTCTTGCTTCGTGCGAACAGTCTTGCTCTTGCCTACAGAGCAACCAAGGTACATCGAAAAGCACGGAGGAATACGCGCCTATGCAAGATTTTTAAAATCCGGTAAGAAACAATTATATTCATTACGTTTGACACACCCAGGGAAATAGCGGTTAATAACTACATTGAAACGCCACCTATATGAACTTCAAGAATCTGCGTGAGTTCTCGAAACTTCACGTGCGCTGACATGCTAGCGCCTACCAAATTGAATTAATAATAAAAGAAGTTTATTCTGAATTTTTGTAACTAATAGCACATTACAGCAGTGACTGAAACGAATGCGGAGAGTAGGTCGTCTGCTTCTTGCTAAGGGGTTGCCGTGGCGTCAGGACGGCGCCGAGTTCTGATTGACTTTGCTTAGAAGGGTAGTGGGTAGATCTCCATGCTAGATACCTTGAGGTCTGCCCACTATTTAGTTTCAATTAGCCTATACGAGCTCGGCGTTCTGACCGAGACATCGAGGAGAAAGGCATAACATCACTTCAAAATGCAACTGGCGTTGATGTGGACCCCCTTTTAGAACTATTAGGCGTGTGTCTGAAGGCGACAATGGTAGCACACCAAGGACATCAAACAAAAAATCTACAAAAAAAAAATGTTTGCACACCGCATAGGAGCCCTTAACGGTGCAAGATTTGTGGCAGCCTAAGGGTCAACGTTTGACAAAATACCATTATAATCTGTCAAAAGTTAACCCGAGGCTGTTACATATCTTAATCAATTAGTCCGCAATTAATTTATTAGTCGGTAGTTTGATCGATCAATTTCACGACTCTAATTAATGGGCTCCACTCGCACAGAAAGGGCTAGGAATGACAGATGTACGGCAATCTGCTTATTCAATTATTTTTTTTTTCCAACGGGCTCTATTGGCGATTGCAACGCAGCTGTTTCGCGACAAGCAGACAAATGACCTCCTATTTCAAATACTCATCGCTAAAATAATAATAAAACAAAATATATGTGCCAAAATAGTAATTGACAAGAGGCTTACCTAATGATGTACAAGAATTATAGTTACTGGCCGACTAAGAAAAGCAGGGCCCGACAACTCTTAAGCATCTCATTATCGCTCCGCACCCAATCACATCGCGGGATTAGCCGATAGGAACGTCGAAGAACCAATCACAATGAAAGACGCGCGATAAAAATAGGCCGCACAGTGAGCCCTGTCAGCCACTAGAAAAGCATTTTCACGTTTAGTTTTCCCCATCGTTACTATACCTCGTTTCAGCTTAGGTCCGAGCGCGGCCGATGTTACGAGCCGAAAGGCTAATCAAACAGCGCAGAAAACGCAACGCCATGGCGTGCTCTCCGCGCCTGATAGGACTAGCCGGCGAAGGAGCACGCACAGAGAGACGGCGAATACCGGCTGGTCCTATCAACTGCAGAGAGCACGCCATGACTTTGTGCCTCTTTCGCTCTTTGATTGGCCCTTCGGCTCATAACATCGGCCGCGCTCGGACCGAAGCTGAAACGAAGTATAAGTTAGCTCAGATACGAAACGGCCCATAGAAACGGCCCATAGAAGCGGCCCACGAGCAGTACCCTCATCGCCTCCCCCCTCCCTCTCTCCTTATGGACCGCTTCCCGTCGATCGACGCGCCACCGTTTTGCGGACGGCTGCTGTGGACGGCTGCTGTGGAAACTGCAGTGTATTCAGTGGAACGTACATGTTTTGAAGCACAGCGTCTAGATGGCGCTTCACCGTACTCTCTATGGAATATACGCAGTTTTGAAACAAAAATCTAGATGGCGCTTTAAACGACGGGAGGGGAGTGAGGGGGTTAGCACACTACGCGGGAGTTCCACAACTGAGCTAATCTAGTAACATTAGTTTTTCCTCAGAGAACGCAGTAGGCCGCTCACCGCGGTCTAAGGGGTACCCCCGCAAACGACAAAGCGTATAAGACGACTTACCCAAAACCAACTAAAATATTGCGTGAGAATAAATCGACATGTTCATGAAAACGGAGCCCATCTCGCGCCCCGTAGGCGACTGGTGGTAAATGAAAAAATCCGCTCGGTCCGGGTTTCGATTCACGGCCCACTAAGGTAACCATTTACTCTACTGATTGCTAGCTCCTGCTTAGCTAAGTAAGTCGAACGCTCTGCTGGTCTTGGAGAGGCCCTGGGATCAAAAGCCGGACCAGGCGGATTTTCTCAGCGGTCAATAAAGCAATATGAACATCCAGCATGACGAGTTATCTCTGCGTTACTGAAAGGACGCTAATTGAAAGAAAAAAGGATGGATATATAGAACCCAAACAATGCAATATAATTTTTCTCAAGTGGCATGACCATCTTTGTTTAAACAAAAATGCTAAATCCAAACGGGCAGTTTTAGATGGCATCGCGCACTACAATCGGTGTTCACACAAAGATACTTGCGAGCCTGTTGGCCCAGTGCCCCCTCTTTGTTGTTGATCATGAAGCGACAACCTCTCTCGAAGCGTTGCACGGTTGTTTCCCGCATCGGATGAGATGCCGTTTTTGTGACCAGCTTGGTTCTAAAAGTGAGGCAATTTAAAATGACCAGCGCCGTCCACAGAGAATCACGCGTGGAGTTCCCAGGCAAATTACGCTCGGAAGATACCGGAAATGAAACCAAAACCATCTCCGCGTATCTCAAAGCACCGAGGTCTACAAAAGTTCGCCCCACAAGGAGCCCCGGTGCGACGTTCACCTGTTATCGGGCTCCCCGTCGTCGTCATCGCATATTTCCGAGCTCGCCATTTGAAATGCAGTGCCGAGAGAGATGCGCGAGGAGGACGTGGAGAAGGTAGCAGGGAGGGAGGCTCCCGTATCTAATCTTCCCGGGTCCCAATGCTCTACACACGCGCACGATACATAGAGATACGGACGAATGGCCTGGCAATTGCAGCCCTCTCGTCATTCGCGCTCTTTTATTTGTTTTGTTGTTTGGTGCAGGTTGAGCGGCGTTCAGAAGACCGCGACCGCGAGCGTCACGGATGCACGGGAGCTATCGACGCGATGTCGATTCTTTGACGTCGCCAGGGGCGAGGCCCGAGCCCGCGATGCCACCCACATCACAGGTAAGATGTCCGGCGATGCATCATTTCCAAGAATGAGGTTCTCGCAGTGGAAAGGCTTAGGTCTTGGATTTGCGGTGGCTCGTTTCTTCGCGCCTTTTTTGGTGGCTTTGGAAGGGGGTAGGTGGATTGCATAATACGAAGCCTAAGCGTGGCGGCAGTGTAAAACGGTCCCCGGTTTGGAGTGTATGTCGGAAGTGCACGCGAGGGAGACTCAAGGTCCGAACGTCTTTGAAGCGTTCAGGCCTTGAGTCGATTTGCTGGAACGGAACGGAGCGGAACGATCGCGGTTTTCCCGTTTTATTATTTCGGCGGAAGGCGCGGTTTGATGGGTGCGCGCGCGCCCCAGTCGGGGTTTAGGAAATCACGGACGTTTACGGTAGGCTGCAGTGGTAGAAAGTAAACTCGAGAAACGTGAAACATAAAACAAACTCGAAAAATTCGACGATAGTCAACGGACCTGTCGTGGAATGCAAGTTGGTGCCGTCTGTCGAACGATAAGGTATCGTCACGCTTATCGTATGCTTATGTAATATTTCCGATCTAAAACCAAATTAGGGCAGGAAGTCCTTAATAACAAAGAACGCGCAAAATAATGACATTTTAACCTTTCTGATTTACTCACCTTGTAAGCTTTTACGACAATTTTAAATGCTACGTGACGCCAGCGTGGCATTATATCTTACTACCTCGACAGCGTGCAAGGAACTCAGGGTTACGATAACATATCTGTGGTATGTTGAAATGGCGTTCTAGCGAAATGAAAACTACTTTGGCGCTTTGACATTTATTTAGAAAAAAAAGAGAAAACTACATGCGATTGCTTTAGTATGAATATGATACAGCTCTAAAGATCGATGATTAAGAATGAAGGCCACACTTCTCAATTTTTTTAAAGCTCACGGAGCAATAAGAATAATAGTTCCGTAATGGTTAGAGCACAATTTATTTATTTTATTTGATATAAGAAATCGATTAGGTAGTCTCATAACACTGCTATGTAATATTGCACTTGAAACAATTATTTTTTAGCGTCTCTGAAATTATAGTGTCGGTGAAAGCAGCGTGAATGGCAAATTTATAATATATTAGAATGTGTTAAAATTTTTATATAAAGAATCATTTATTTGCAGACCATCAGTGGCAGAGCAGTGAGTAGTATGATGCTATTGCCTTGGCATACACAAAAAAAAAAAGTAGTAAGCTTAACGGCAGATAGTCTAGTTTAATTAAATTGTTCTTCCCCTCTCCAGAAGGCTCCGAGACGGATGATCTGCCCTGCTCGGTTTTTATTATAATATTGCTGGTGACATTCACGTGCCATTCTATCATATTAAAGACAATTAGAATTAAAATATTTGTATACTATACAACTTAATGGGGGGTACGTAATAAGCAGTTTTTGACCTCGTCAAGAATTATGAATTATATACTGACTGGAAGATTGATTTTATTATCTCGAATGCCAGAAGGCAATATACGCTCAACTTTACTCGGAAAAAAATCACGCAAAATCATTTTAATAAGAGTCTCATAACTTATAAAAAGAAAATAAAGTGATATAGGTTTTAAGTGAGTTTCCATGAGTTTATTGAACATAGTAAAAACAATTTGTTTTCTCACAAGGGCATTATTTTAAATATTGCTCGGGTTCACATCGCGTGAGAAATAAACCCTTGATCGGTTCAGGGCTTCAAGTCTCCCTCCTGCCGGGGGGGGGGGGGGTCTCACCTCACATACCTTGGGGGGGGGGGGGGGGGGGCATTGTGGCAAACTTAAAAATACAGTATGTATTTGTAAATAAAAAATACAATAAGTATTGCCGTATGACAAAGTGATGTAATTAAAAAATACAGCGCTTACACTAATACCACGATCCACGCAACCTATTAATTCCTAACAGACGCTTGAGACTAAGTGCTGACAACATGGTCCGACTCCGCCACTACATACATTTTAAATATTTGTGGGCTTGTGATGCGAAAATATCTGGCACCTAAAAATAGATAAAGTTTGCGCGCTCATTACTGTTTTTCGCCAATTCGGGAGAACCACTCTTTCCCTGGCTGTCTGGTATGGTGTTGAGGCCGCAGACCAGTTTAGCACGATGTATCTGAGCTACCTCCACGGGCTGGTGTGATGGAGAGATAGTGGGGGTCTTTTAGTTTCCATGTTCAGGTTGCGATACCTGACAACGTCACGATTCATCGGAAAATGTACTGCAAAGTGTCTGGTACCGTAAACGGCACGTTAAACTCAAACTCTTTACTGTGAAAGTATGGGCTTCTGGAAGACAACTTTTACAAAATAATGTTCTGTATATACTTTTATTTACTTAGTTCAGTTGCTGTTGACCCTGCTCGGCCGCAAAGGGAGAAATACCGTATAAATTATTCATTAAAAGATTACCATCGTCATGGGCACGATTTCAACTTGTCGTCATTGAACGTAAATACACAGTACAAAATGTGCCCAGAGTACGCAGAGAGGCACGCACAAAATAAAAACGAGTTAAGATGTATAAGTACAAAGCACAACACTGTTACCACAAAAAAGCTATCGCCGTTTTTGCAGTTTTTCTTTTAGAATCGAAAGGCTGTCATCAAAACTACTAATATCGTTGGAAGTGCATTAACCTAAGCGGTGAAATTTGTTGCCCACCAATAGCGTTTCGAAGTAATAATCGAAAGAGCTCCAATGTCGTATTCGCCCTAACGGCGTCGCGCAGTTTACATCCTGAAAAGCATGGCAACGTTGTGAAGGTTACATAAATGTATAGCAACAACCAAGCGTACATATATATAAAACAAAAATTAAATAATATGCAACTAATTAACAAAAGTATGAGTTCTTAAAGACGTATTGTTGGCGGCTCGTTATACAGCACATGCAATTGATATAGCATTCATCCTAAGATGACATCTACCCGACATCAGCAGCGACAAAAGAAACTATATATATACCGCACAGGGTCACTGAAGAATTTTCCAGAACTTCTCCTGGCCTTCCGTCTAACTGCATGCTTTGCGGGCTGGTGCTCTAACCTGAAGCGCAGAATGTCTGTCTGACAAAAGCCACGACGTCACGCACGAATCTGGGCAAAAACGTTGCAGTGGTGGACCGTTCACCTTAATAAACAGCAGTGTCGATAGCCTCGTTATACACAGCGATGACCTCATTGGCGTCATGATAATGCTCATCACGCTGAACCCTCGTTCACAGTCAGTAGTTGACACGGGAATACAGTTCACAGCCGTCACAACCCCTCGGAGTTTCTCAGGGACATTTTTGCCCCCGTTTTCAACATACTCTCTGAAGCCGTGTTGAGTTTTTTTCTCCTCTGTGCTAAGCGAGTTATTCTGTCCTTCCCGTAAAGCACGTCCAGCTCACCGGGCCAGGTTGAGGGATCTAACAGCCGAATGTCTTCAATCAGCTCTCTGTAGACTGTCACATGGTGGTCGACACTGCTGCTGCTGCTACGAGAAGACTGAGTGGTGAGAAGTCGTGTCCTCATGTTGTCGGCCAGGCTCTGGTAGAACTGCGTCGAGTTAATAGCTCGATCGCACTTTCGACAGGGATGCAGTTTTATATCTTTAAAGCACTTAGCCTTCACTGCGTCGTTGACCTGCACTGACATTTTCCCGGGGCGGACTTTTCTTGCTTCAAAAACTGCAATCTGCCTTGGCACCAAGTTGTGCGCCGCTGGCAATGTTATGGCACGCACCTGAAAGTTCAAAGGAAGTTCTGAGATCTCGGCCAAGCTGTCATGGAGCAGTGCCAAGTTCTGGACAAACTCAACTGACGACAGACTTTCTGCAAGCCCTAAATACTGTGCCTTCTCTTTGGTGTCTCGCTTGGGGTCCTCGGAACACTTAATGAAGTGAGCGTACAGTGAAGGGTATGATGTCATGAGAGCATTCACAGTCCTGAAGCTTGACACCACCCACCTTGTATCCAGGACTCTCCCCACACACAAAAGGGAGGCGTTCAAGTCCTTTGCACAGCTTTCGAGTTCTCTGCGGTTTTTTTTGAGAACTGCTGCACAAGCAGCAGAGTTTGTCCATGAAAATTTTGAAGTGATTGATACCTTGCACGTCGCCGACTGTATCTCCGACTGCCAGCTCAAGCCGGTGCGCCGAGCAGTGCCATGTGATTAGGTTAGGAAATGTATCCTCTAGAAGCTTCGCAACTCCTGAATGTTTCCCAAGCAGCACCGATGCTCCGTCGCAAGCAAAAGTAACTAGCTTGTCCTTTAGCACGTTCATACTCAAACCGTGCGAACTCAGGAAAGTCAACAGGGCCTCCTTTATACCATGCAGCCGCCGTCCCACCTGTCACTTCCACAAGGTCCAGAAAGACAGTAACTGGCTGTAGGTGACCGAAGTCGGAGCGCAGATATACAATCAGCGTGGAATGCTCACTGACTGTAGTGCTCTCGTCAATCAGCGCAGAGAACTTTGCGCCGTCTTCTATAAGAGCTCTGCACATGCTCTTCTGCATTTCATTTCCAATATGATCAACAATGTTTGCACATGAGACATTTGTGTGCAAAACCCTGCCTAGATCCATACCATTCGCAGTCTGCACGTCGATTTCATCACTGAAGTCACTGAATGGGCGGCAGTTTTTCGCTTGTTTGTACGCGATTCGGAATATTTTTTTTGTGGCTTCCTGATGTTCATTTAGCTGCTCAGAGAATGCTTCTTCAAGCTTTCTTTTCTTGGCTGTCCTGTCAATCTCCAGAGCCTTGATGTGGGCATCCGATTCCCTGTGCTGGTAAATTGTTTTCCGCAGAGCTCTTTGTTGCTTCTGTTTGCTGTCACCGGGTGCCTTGACTCCCCCCTCTGCCCATTCGAGGGAATTTCGACCAAGACTGCCTAAATGCTCAACTCTTGAGCATGACAGGCGTTTTAATTTTCCGTCCACGAAGCTCAACCACTCATTTTCTTTCTTGAAGAACACGCTCTGCTCCAGGTTCCAGCACTCGGGCAGGTTTGAAATGTTAGCGTCGCTAAGGTGATCACAATTCGTTTCGGAGGAAGGATGCGCACCCTCATTAGTTGCAGTCGTAGGCACTTGATTACTGTCCTCGGCAGCACGATTTACAGAAACAGCGCGTGGCACAGGGCTAAAAAAGCTGGTTAGCTTCTTGCTGGCTTTCGTAGTCATGATATTAAAAGTTCAGCATAGCAAAATTTAGAGATAAAGTCACGTTGCCGATGGTCTTGAGGTAGACGGGTATCCAACAAAATCTTTTAAAGTGTCTTGGTATGCGAAGGCAAAAGGGGAAAACAAGGTACACATAAAAACACGTCAGACACTGACAGCGTCAGCCCTGGATTAAGGGGGTGGGGGCTAGGGACGCTGGAGCCCAGGGCCACACCTGAAGAAAAAATGGGTGGGGGCCTCGCTCGGCTCTCGGGGCGGGGCCAAGAGGAGGTCCTCGTAGGGTGCGAAAGACACCCCAGAAAAGAGGTATTATTGCCTTTTTTGTGTGTTTGTTGCTGGCGTGTCAAAGAATCGCTTTGGTCGTAAATCAATTTGACCTGTGAAAGTTGCCACTCGTTACCAGCGCGTCCGAAGTACTAGTGGCATCAATTTCCTGTCGGCTTTTTTAAAGGCTTTTTCCTCTACAGGGTCATTTTACTTTTCCGGCGCCAGCCATACTTCGTTTTATCTCCTGTTGAACCACAACGGAAGGCTAGGGATCCTCCAGAGTCAATCAAGCGCCAGTCCAGAGGTGTCGTCACGCACTAATACACGGCCGACCTCGAGGAGCCAGGCGACGTCGCTTCTGAACTTGCGCTTGATTGGCTGTGGAGGCCCCTCGTCTTCCGCTGAGGTTCGACACAGGAGAAAACGAAGTGGGCAACAAAACTTTTTTTTTTCTTGTTTGCGGGTCATTAAAAACCGATATTTCGAAGGGGGGGGGGGGGGGGGGGGGATCATACTAAACGTCTGTACTTTCTGGGTGGCAGTGGGGTGTATTCAAGCCTCAATCTTTGGCTTAACAACAGAAAACGCTTTACGGTGGCCGATAGTTGAGGGGTCCCTTTTAGTTCGAGCGTCTGTAAGCACTCTATATTTTCTTTTTGCTTGCCATTTCGCTTTTCGGATAGCGGCACGTTGACAATCGCCTAATCCACATTCTTTCTTTTTTTTTTTTAAATACACCAGACATGGACAACTGCAACTGCGAAAACGCGTGTCCCGCTTGGCGCACGTGAATGTATCATTTGTTTCAGATAAAATTGCCTCTTTCGAGAAAGCATCCCAGGCGAAAATTTTCAACTGGGACCAGCTGGTCCCAGTTGCAACTGGTTTATGGAACAATTCCCAGTTGCAACTGGTCCCAGTTGGAGTCGTTCAACTGGGACCAGTTGGTCCCAGTTGCAACTGGTTTATGGAACAATTCCCAGTTGCAGCTGGTCCCAGTTGGAGTTGGTCCCAGCTGGAATTGGTCTCAGTTACAACTGGTCCCAGTTGGAGTTGGTACCAACTCTAGCAACAACACGGCACAAAATGGAAGGTTGACAATACTTTATTGTTAAAAACTTGGAGAATGAAACTAAATAGGTTTGGTGACGTACACGCTCCGGGTTTAGCCACTTGCTTGCGACGGTTGAATCGCTTTTTCAGAGGTGGTATTCATGAGATGAAGGGAGATCGGCCGCTGGCGTCTGTTAGTGAAGACGGCCTCAGCTTCTCTTCCCATTGCGTGAAGAAAGGTGCTCACCCGTGATCCTGCGTTGCGCAGGTGAAGTCCAGATAAGATGCGGTAGCGCTCCCACCTTGCAATCTCTGTCACAACAGTCGAACATTTTCGAGGTAGACCTCCCGCCATTTTCGCCATTGTGCTCTCCGCGGCGTGTTCTCTTCCGTCCGGTCTTTCCTGGGTGCCCTCCGATCCCTGAACTGCATCTTTCCATCCTCGAAGTTCACCGCCGCCATCGTGGTGTGTGTACAGTTAGGTCCAAAGAAGCGCAGCTGTAGTTTTGACATTTTCATAACGACGCCAACATGGGCGATGGTGACCCTTCTCGACCGCGTCCGTCCGACTCCGGCGTCAGCATAGGCAGCGCCATCTGTCGACAGCGCGTACCACTAATCCGCACCCGCGTGCCACGGCGGCCGGCTAGCTCTGATTAGTCAAAAGATAAATTTATTTATTAAAAGAAAAAAAAATAGTGTAGGTATTTAAATAAATGTTTTAATATATTTTAATAATGCACTAAATGTTCATTTAGGTGAACACATTTTGTCACTAATTATATTTTCCAATTAAAAATTATTTAGTTAATTGAAATTTTTATATTATTTTTAGAAATATATAAATTTACCCCAGTAATTAAAACTCCCTATTTGTATAAATCTAAAAATTTTAGTGTTTTTAGTTTTCTTCATTAGCAAAGGTCAATACACCCCCAACTTGTCCAAATTGTTGCCCAGTGTGAACTGGGAACGGGAAAGGGATTTGAAGTCCGACTGGGAATCGCTCCAACCAGTTACTTTCCTAACTGGTTCCAGTTCACTCCATTCCCAACTGGGAGTCAAACCAGTTGACTCCCAACTGGGAATGGTTCAAACCAGTTGACTCCCAACTGGGAATGGTTCAAACCAGTTGACCCCTCAGCTGGCCCCAGTTGGACTCCTATTGGTCCCAGTTGGGACCAGTTAGTCCCAGTTGATTCCCAGTTGGGACCAGTTAGTCCCAGTTAAAACCAGTTGAGGTGCCAACTGGTCCCAGTTAGAAATTTTCGCCTGGGATATTCTATGCGGCCTACCCCAGAGCACGGCCCTGCCTAGAGAGAACACATCTGGCAATCATTCTCAAGAGCCACTTGCTGCGCGGAACGTCTATGGTGGCAGGAGTCACAAACAGGGATTTCTGCGCATAGCCTCTTGATTGCTTCTCCTGGGTTGAAGGCGTGCACATACGCACGGATAACGCAGTGACGTAGCGTGTTTTTTTTTTTTTTTAGAATTGATTGGACTAGCTCATTTTCAAGCCTTAGTGTCATTCACGTGCAAAGGGGGATTTCTTTTGTTCAAGTTTTCTTGGGAAGGGAGGCGCGCTTGCCTCGAGCGCCCGCGGCCGTCATTTCCGGGAGATAATTTTCCCGCTGTTTTGCGGCGCGGCGAGGCAGCGGGAGGGAAGCCCAGCTCCTGCCAAACCAAACCGGCATCTCCATCTCTGGCTGGTGGGGTGGGACAGAAGGGCCGGCTGTCGTCTGCTTCTCCGGTACATGCGCAGTGTCGCGCTCCCGGAGGCCGCGCCGACTGGCACCGCGATGTTACAGTGTAGGGATGTGGTAGGACCGTAGGAGAAAAGGGTCTGTCGTCTGCCTGGACAGCATGCGCGCAGCCTTTTTTCACCCCTTTTCCCCAACCTCCACAGTGCACACCAAGTCAAACCACCAAGCCAGGCGTGTTGATAACCAAAAAAAAAAAAAAAAAAAAAAAACAAATGGTGGGAGGTTTTGGACCTCCCGCCAAAATTGCTGGGGGTCCGGGATCCCCCGAGACCCCCCTGACTTTAAGCCCTGGATCGGTTTCCTGACATTTATTTTACATACGCGCTCATAGACGCGCAGTAAAATATTGACGACACGTGAAACAAAAAGGATCTAATTGAATTTAGCGACATTGAGATCAAGGCCTATTCCGCATATGGTCTATGTCTTAGCAAGAATATATATATATATAGCATCAACTTGCCCCGTGAAATAATATGCTAGACGATTGAAAAGATATTTTGGGTGACCAACACAGTGTCCTTTGTGTTGATGTTGATGTCTTCTGAAAAGTGTGTAATCCTTCTTGGTTTTACTTCCTTCCCACACCGCAGTCGCCGGCTCACGTCACCAACGGACGGCCGACTGTGTTCACCGTCAGCGGAAACCTTCCAGAGGTGAGTGACCGACATTTTTACCCGATGGAATAGGTCATGTAACAATGAGGGTTCGCGACTGAAGTTGGAATTTCTGCTTGAAAATATATATAAAGTGCGCGTTTGGGATTGTTTTTGAAGAAACATGAATGAATAAGACATATAGAGTATTATATTACAGATGACGCCCAGGACGTTGTTATTGATATATTTGATTCTGGAAAATACCGTTTTTGGAGGATGAAGCGGTGATTCTAGGAAGCCACCTGGGAAAACTGCAGATACTCTTTCTCATTCCCAACATTTCAGGTGCAATCCAAATAAAAGCACGCGTATATATAGCCTGGAAAAACAGTTAGCTTGAGCAGGGCATTCGCTGTTTTTCACACTTTACACTTGCGGTTTAGTGTTGGATCACACATTTTCCAGCCTACGTTTGAATCCTTCAGTTACGAATGGGTCGTTGATGATGATGAAGTTCGGCCGCTTGCAACAAGGGTCCTGATGGCGAACACGTTGCGAAGTGAAGTTCAGTCAGGTGGTATTAGACTTTAACTTAGATAGATTTATTTAACATAGTAAGTTCACAGTAGTGGGCGCGACCAGACGTCGCCGCCCGGCACTTTCCGTCCTCCAAACCCCCGACAAGGAACCCAACCACCACCCAGCTCAATCAGTCTCAAAAAACCTCTCCTCATAAAAAAAAAAAAAAAAAAAAAATTGGTTTGCTCTGTATGTTTATGCAGCCTTGATGGAGATACGCCACAACGGGTAATCGGTCTCTTAGCTGTAGATGAGAAATTTAGCCAGTGCAGCACAACCGCTAACCTTGGATTTTTAACTTGCATCACGCAGTAGTGATCACACGAACGCGTGCCGGTACGAAACTCATCCAGATCGAAACGAGCGGGGGCGGCAGGGAATCGAACCCAGGAGGCTCCCAGCGCAAGCTTTCGCTCCACGCTCCGAGCTGAGACGCGTTAGCCCACTCGGCCACTTCCTCCTTTTTTTTTAAATTGATCTTTATGTACATGTTCAAAAAAATCGTTCACACTTCCTCATGCAATCGAAGTGCAGAAAAAGCACAAAAGAGCATAACACAGAGTGCAGCGTGCAAAGTAACACAAAGCGACACAACAGTTCGCGTGTCTAATCCGCAGTTCAAAGGCCGCAAATGCATAGGCAGTACTGACCCTGGAGACCGCCGCAAGGCAAATGGCGTGCCTCACTCGGTGATGGCAGAGAACCCGCGCACCCGAGCCGAGCTTTCAGTACGTGTTTCCCAACACTCAAGCCCCTCCTGCTCTGTCGTCGCAATCAGCGAGCTGGCATACACAAAACCATCCAAAAAATGCCTCCACGCAGGTTTCCCTCCTTCGACAACATGAAGGTGGTCCGTTCTTGACCTCCACAGCCCGTGCAAACCAAGGATGGTCAGAACCTCAAAGGCTCGACTATCTCTTCCCGTCCCACACTCAAGAAACATTGTACTTCGCCACAACACATACAGATCAACTCCTAGCGCCGCCCGCAGCTGTGCCCAAAAAAGTTCAGCATTTGGGCAAAATAGGATAACATTTTCCAGAGTCTTTGGAAAAGGACAAAGCGCGCAATTCGTGGACCACGGTACGAAAAAACCCTTTTGCACCAACCATGTTTTTACCGGGAGAACTCTCAGATGTAGACGCACGGCCACTTCCTCCCCCGCCTCTCCTCATCATTCGCCCCTCCGTTTTAGAGTCGGAGTCAGGTTCCCTCTCCCAATCGTCCGAACCAAAAGCACACAAGCAGAACAACAACATGCTGTCGTCTCAAACGAATAACCAAAATAAAACACACAAAGACCCCACGTTTTCTTCGACGGTCATTACAAGAAGGTGCCGTGAAGATGGGCGCACCCACGAACCCGGCCCGCTTATACAATGAAAGCAAAGCCGACATGTTCGGCAACGTTTACTACCCCAGACGCCCCATCCGGCAGCCACCCGTGGTAAAGCGTCCCCTTGTCCCGGCTCCCCAATTAGGGAGGCGCCCGCTCGAAGCACCCCTGAAAGCGACATTCCTGCGACGCTCCCCCATTCCTGGTCAGGCGGCCGTCTTCCCCCGCCGCCCAAGGTGATCCTTCCCACCGCAGCTGCGCTTTGACCCAAATCGACCAAAAAAAGATAGAATAATATGCCTGTACCTAACTCCTTCATAAACACTTTTCGTTACATCAAACTCCTAAGAAAAGAAAAAAAAAACAAAAAAAAAACGCGTGTGTTCACTTTTTTTGGAAGAAAACAATAGATGGATCACTGTAAATCTCGTAACTCAGAATACAATTAGACCCATTGATGAAAGTCAAAATTGGTGCTTACGCGCCAAACCAACAAAAGGCATCAGGGACACTCCAGCGGAGGACTGACGATTAATTTCGACTACCTGGGGAGCTTTTTTCATGGCACCGAATCGTCGGTAGCACGTGAACATGCAATTTAATTCACAATTACATGGTACCTTCTTCGCAAAACACCTCCGTCAGATCGAGGAATTTGAGCTGGCCACCTGGGGATTTCCAGGCCAGCACTTTGCTTCGGAGTAAGCGAGGTGGTTGTACTATTAAGCTCGAAAGCAGCTATGTGCTCAGGGACAACGATCTTGTTGTTTTGTTTTCTTATCTTTTGCTGATATTTTATGCAAGTGAAACGCTATGTTCATTGCCTCGGCGAACATCGCATGTTGTTGGTCTCATCGCATTCTGAGCTACGGCATCCGCCAGCAGTGTATTTTACGTGGGGGGTGCTCAAGGTCGAAATAAAGGGTGAAGTGGAGGGGGGGGGGGGGGGGGGTACAGGAGGTGAAAAAAAGAAATAAAAATTAAAAAAACAGTTATTACCAAGATTTCACTGCTTATAGAGGGTTAATTATCATTTCCTATACCGTGTGTCCCTACATTATCCAAGATTCTTGCCACGAAGCAATGAAATGTTGACACAATCAGATCCAATAGTAGCAGCTACACGGTGGCACCGATCTACCGTGTCAATCTAAAATGCACTGTAAAATCGGGCGCCTGCATGTAGAGAGCTCACATTTTTAGCGAAGGTGTACTTTAATCCTGGACGCTTTCCTGTGAAATTTCTAGGCGTTGCTCCATTCTTGTGAAAAGTTATGACAATCTTGAAAATTTCAAAAATGCTTACCACCGGTGGACGCGGTCGTCAGCTCTTAATTATAATGGAACCGAAAAAAAGCTCGATAACATGAATTAATTTTTTTGGATTGGGCTAGTCGGTTCACGTTCATTAAAAGGTTTAAAAGCGAAAAAAAAAACACACACACACACACGGCCAAAGAAGTTGAAAGTTAACGGCCGTCTGTGATTTACCTGTTGCTTTTCGTACGTTTGTTTTTTGCACTTTTCACCCTTTTAACGTACTCGATAACATCTTTGCGCTTTAGATCATTGGCTAGCATCTAGAAGCGTTTTGACAAGACAGAAATCTGTACCACACCAACGAGGTTCAATGGAAGACTGATTTTGCCTGTTACAATTATTATCAATTTTACAGCCTGTGCTCAATAAATTGCAGAGGATAAACAACACTGAACTTTAAATATGCTCTCTTAATCGATTTGGGCCATGTCGGTAACTAAAAAATAGTCGACAAGGGCCGCCATTGGTCTTATTGGGCGATAGCGTTGAAGAATCTACATTAGTCGAATGCGAATTTATGCGCGCGGTAGTGCCGAGGCTACAGCCCTCTACAACAATCTTTCCTCTTAAAAAAATAAATGAGCTTTTTTTTTTTTTTTTTTTTTTTTTTTGTCATTTAATTGGGATAAAACTACGACGCACCGGGGCAAACGCACAACTATTTTTCTATGTTAAGAGAAAGGCGGCTTTCTTTAGAACACGTCCCAACAATGCAATGCTTTTGGTGGCTCCGAGGCAAAGCGCCGGCTTACGGATCCCCGGGTGGTGGGTTCGAATTCCCGCAATCTGACGGGAGCTTATTGCAGAGAAGGCACCGTGTAACCCAGCTTTCGGTGTTTGCAGTTCAGAAGATCCCCAGGGGGTCGAGAGGAATCGCCAGTCCTCCGCTGGGGCGTGTGAGGTGCCCGTCGTTAGTTTGGCACGTAGAACCCCCCAAATTTGACTTTTAAAACCAATGCCCACCAAATGCGGTCAGGGGATATGACATACTTTACCGGGAGTTCACGTACGATGTTTCGTTAGCCATTTGAAGTGACCGCGCAAATTGGCTTGTTAACGTGCGTGCTACGATTTACTACAGAGGTGCCCGAACGTGGTGGATTTATTATTTTTTTTTTTGAAGAATGAAGAAATAAATATTTTTAGCGAAAGAAAAAAAAAAGTAGTTTTTTATGGGTGAATTTTCGCGAAATCTCTTTTTTGCGAAACTATCAAATATTTTTCTGGGAAACTGAGGCGTTTATTATGATTGAAAAAATGGGTGGAATAAAAATAAAATACAATACATCATAACATAGCCTTCATTTCGCCAGAATTAACGCCAGAGTTGTCCAAACTATTATTTTGAGTTTAAACGCAAAATAAAAAAAAAAGTAATATTTTTTTGCTTAGCGAACTAATTTTATTGACATTTTACTGATTACTTCCACTATCTAACTACGTCTGTGTGCTAAATACCTTCGCAATCTATTACAAAACTGTTTTATGCGGTTATTTCATAGAACACCAAAACATTGTGAACTCCCTCCAATGCAGTTTATGCAACCTAAAATTCGACAATTCCCTCTTGCTTCGCTACGCACGCACACACACAAAATTGAAACAAAACCTTAAACCTACCAGATATTTGTAAATTCTGGGTGACTCTTGGTATGATATGGTCCGCTGCTGCCGTGCCGACGTTTTGGATATTTCCCTGACAAACTGCCAATTTCTTGGGTCCCCGCAACCACGCATCAAGGAGCGTCCTTCTGGTAGCCATAATGATTAAAAGTGTAAAACTTTAAATACTGTTTTTTCTTAGCGGTGCACTTGTAAAAAA